GTCCCGTTTCTGGCAGGCTTCTAGCGCTAACACGCGACCCAAAGGTTCCTGCTTTGTGCGTCCTCCGCGCTCCCCCCCAGTCCTGCATTGCTTCAAAGTCCTCCAGCACACGCTTCTGCCCTTGCCGCCGCCACCCCGGAGTGCAGGCAGCGGGGTGAGGGAGGTCTGCCTGCCTGCAGCGCTGCCTCCGAGCTGGCAGGGAGAGCGCACACGCATGCAACTCCTTGACAGGGTGGCAAAGACTCACGTATGGAGCAGGAGAAAGCATCAAATGCGTCCCGATAAAGCCTGGGAGAAAAGAAGACTGGCTGTGTTATTGCTGTCCTGTAGCTCCTCACAGCTCTGCACTCCAACATCTCTCCTTTCAGCCTGATTTGAATTAGTGGCTGCCCTGTAGCTGTGGCTGTAAGTGGACTAACACTACCGGAGAGCCCATCCATGAAGGAGTGAGGTCATGGCGGGATGGGAAGGGCTGTAAAATGCAGGGCAACGTACAGATAAAATAGTTTCTTTCCTGTGCCACAGGAGAAGCCAGCAGCACTTCAGCATTCATTTGGGCTTCTGCTTGGGCTCTCGCATGCACATCACGCTGTCCTGCTGGGAAACCCCATCCCTTGACAGTTGCTTGGATTGAACAGACAACGTCTCATTGCAGAAACAGAGGAAAATGGGGCTTTATCCTGGCTGTGATGCAGCTTGGCGCATACCCTCTGACGGCTGCCTGGTCTCACCCTGCCCTTCTGTAAATGGGGGGTATAAAACCTGCCTGAAAGATGCGCTGAGGCTTAAATAATCCACAATTACAGAGCACTGCTGACAACTCCAGAAGATGAGATCCATTAAAATGGAAAATTCAACTATCAGTGGTAATACAAAAGAACTTGGGGTCTAATGCACAGAAAACATGGATTAACTCATGCAGGTTGAGCTGGCCTGTGGAAAAAGTCATTGGCACAGGTTGTCCCACCTGCTTTGTAGATGGTGGCAGGCCCCTTCTTTGAGGGACAAGCCCCTCGCCAGCTGTTATGGAGGGGGGCTGGACCAAGAGCCCCTTTTCTGCCAGGTTGGTGTCCCAGCTCAGGCTGAGTGATCCTGGATAACACTGAAGAAATGGTTTGTTTACTCATTAAATGACTAGCGAGGTGGCCCCTATCTGCCTCTCTGCATGTTGGACATTGCTGAGTGGAGCAGAGATTCAGCAGGCAAGCAGCCGCTGCTGTTAGACGTGGTGGGCTACTGACTGGCTCAGAGAAGAGGGCGTAGGAGCCGTGTGTGATGGCCTGAGGCCAGCCGCTGGTCAGAGCAGCAATTCGTCTGCTGGCACCGACCCGCTGGTTGTATCCCAATCCAGTTTACTCTCAAAGTAGCGCTGGTGTTGCAGTAATTCCATAGGCAGTGTTCAGGGTGGTAAAACAGGCACCTGTAAACGGATATCACACAGCAAAATTTAAATTATGGCTTTTTCAGATGCATGCTGTCTT